TGTATGTATACATACATATTCATATATATATATATATATATATATATATATATATATATATATATATATATATGTGTGTGTGTGTGTGTGTGTGTGTGTGTGTGTGTGTGTGTGTACATATATGTGTATGTATGTATATATATATGTATATATATGTGTATCTATCTATTTATCTATCTATCTATCTATGTATACACACACACACACACACACACACACACACACATACATCCCCCACTTCAAAAGACAAAGAGATAAAGAGCGCGCAAAGAAAGTGGGCGACAATAGAGAAAACAGTGTGCAAACGACTACAAAGAGGAAGAAACATTGCACAGTTGACACAAGTTTAAAATCCCAGACAGACGAGAGAAGGGGGTGGGGGGTGGGGGGAGAGATGGAAAGGAGTGTGTAGTTTTTTTTTTTTTTTTTTTTTTTGTTATGTCTGTGTTTATTATTTCATTTGTCTTTATGATCTTTTAGACTTCTCATTCGAGGATTACACATAACGTTGATATTTACGTACGAAAGCCGAAGGAAAAGGAGAGAGAGAAATACTGAGAAAACCACGAAGAAGGAGAAAAAAAAAGAAAAAAGAAAAAAAGGAAAAGAAAAGAAAAGAAAAGAAAAAAAGGCTTCTCAAAGGATAACCACCTTCGTTTAATGTCAACACATTTAGCATTCTTTCTGCAACAAGTATTTCGCGTAGTTAAATTTAGTTTCCTGTGAAGATGACAATTTACAGTTTCTTGCAAATAGCTGTTCATTAATCTCTCTCCTTTCTCTCTCTTTAATTAGCACTGGTCATTTTTCTTTCGCTTTCTCCCTCTTTCTCTCTTTCTCGTTGCTTTAGATAAACATAATAAAGATAGATGAACAGATAGATATACAGAGATATAGTTATGAATATGGATAAAGATGTATAGATACAGACTTATGCATATTTTCTGTGTTTTAGGGTTTTAGGAGTATCTGTATTCATTGCATAAAACGCATACTAGTTTTACAGGTACTGGTTTTAGTAGGTTATACGTATATCCCCCTCGTCATAGGCAAGTATGTTTATGTGTGAGTGTGAGTGTGTGTGTGTGTGTGTGTGTGTGTGTGTGTGTGTGTGTGTGTGTGTGTGTGTGTGTGTGTGTGTGTGTGTCTGTGTGTGTGTGTGTCTGTGTGTGTGTGTGTGTGTGTGTGTGTGTGTGTGTGTCTGTGTGTGTGTGTCTGTGTGTGCGTGTGGGGGCATGCGTGTGTGTGAATGCGCTTTCATATATACACACCTCATCCATTAGCCTACGATGGCAAACAACCTCCACGTCTCCACTATTCCCATTACTGTCAGGCATAACGGTCGCACATCATAGAAAATGGCAAATAGCTCGAGGGGATACATTCACACTCGTTGTGCCTCCCCGCCAGGAAAACAGCTTTTCCTATTTACTTATTAGTTCATGCATTTTTTTTTTTTTCACTTATTCGTGTATCATCCCCTTCCCTCGAAAAAAAAAAAATGCAAATTACGCCATATACCCATATACCAGAGAGAGAGGGTGGGGGGGGGGGAGAGGGAGAG